ACTAAAGCTAAATTCTCTTATTCTCAGCTTCTGGGAAAAAAAAAAAAAGTCTGATTTCTAATTCTGGCTGTTCCTGATTTCCTGATTGTTGAAATGCATCTTTTCAACTTCAGTTATATGATTTCTCATGTAAGGTGTGTTAGCTTGGTAAATTAAGGCCTTTTCCATTGGATTTGGGCAGGTTTGGATGCTGTGCTCACTGGTTCTATCACTGTCACTACCACTGTCAAGTAAAGAGAGGTCACTGTCAAGTAAAGAGAGGTCACTGTCAAGTAAAGAGAGCCCAGGCAACATGCAAGCCATGCATTTGGGCCCTCAAGTGGTGAGGAGTACTTATTTCCTCTCTCTGCTTATGATTTCATGGTCCAAATCATATTTTTTATATTTTATAATTGTTCTTGCAACAGAAGAGTATTTTACCCCTGTGCCATCTCAGGGAGAGACCTCAGTTTATAATAATTTACAGTAGTAGCTACTGTAGTAGCCTCAGCCTCCTCTCACTGTTGGTCCGTCTATATCACCACACCTCTTCCCCCTTAACACACACTATTGAATGTCCTGGCTCTTACCATCTCATAAGGAGACATATGGAAGTGGGGTAGCACTTGTGACCCCTTATTAAGATAGGGACCAATACGTTTTGGGATGTAGACGGTATCACTCCTGCTGGGTAGCCAATGGATGATGCGCTGGCCACTACAAAAGGGAAATTCTTATCGATCATAAGCGGGAAGAAACACTTGTAAATCTTAGCTATAGATCACTGTATTGTGGTCCCTTGATTAGAGAGGAGTGGGCAGGGATATAGCTGGACATAAGACACAGGTAGAATCAAGGACTCAAGTATCTCCAGGGCTCTCTTGCCTTTTCTGTTTACTTCACTCTGCATGCAGACTAGCTTCTTCCACGTGGTGAGAGATGTGGCTGCTTTGGGTATCAACCTTACATCTCAGAAATGCCAACACTGGGGCCAACTCTTCATTAGCGTCTGTTGGAAAAATCCTCATGAAAAGCTATGATTGGTCCACTTCAAGCCTGGACCAATTAACTGTGGCCTGGGGATGGAGTTAGGTAGGAAAATGGTTCATTCTGAGGTGGTGCTGTCCCTGAGTGGGGCAGAACATTCATGTGATGAGGGGAAAATGGACACTGTTCAGATGGTTCCATGGGTGTTCACTACACAAGTAGAGAAGACTGGATATAGTTACAGACGTCATATGCTAACTGACTCAGTTAAAATTTTGAATTTGGAAAATTTGACTCTCTGATCATTAGCTCCAATATACAGTCATACAGCCTGAACTCTACAAAATCCATATGGTTAGGGTTTGGCCCGTACCATTCCATCTACTGTTTATGGCTTCTTCCCACCCTAATATTTGGGTTCCCTCTTCCTCTGGTTAGTCTGAGTCTAGTGGATCCAACATGGTCCTGGGGCCCTGAACATCTGTGTCAGCTCTCCTATGAGGTCTGAACCCTGGCCTTGTGGGCAGTGTGCGGCTGCTTCCAGCCTCCTCTCCACTCAGTCTCTCTGTATCTCTCTTGCTCTTGATTTACTTTCTTTACCCTCAGATATCTCACTCTTCATACCAAGTATCTGAAATTCTTTGAAACTTGTTTTCTTCACTCACTACTTTTGTGACCTGCTTCAACCTATTTTCTCTTCTTGGGCTTCCTAGAATGGCACATATTGTTGGAAAAAAATGCACCAGTATACAGAGTTATGAAACTGAAAAATCTGTGGTATCAAAACTCTGAGAGCCTTTCCATGATTTGCAATCAAGCTGCTTCTCACTTTGCTCTCCTTCATACTGCTCACAGCAACTGAGCAACACATTTATCCTACATGCTAAGCTGCTATATGTTACACAGCACTTGTTACCCAGCACAGAGCAGGGAAACAATACAACACTTATTAAATCCATGAATGAGTGAATTATTAACTAAATAAAAGTCTTCAGGCTGGGTGCGGTGGCTCACACCTGTAATCCTAGCACTTTGGGAGGCTGAGGCAGATGGATCACCTGAGGTCAGGAATTCGAGACCAGCCTGGCCAACATGATGAAACCCTGACTCTACTAAAAATACAAAAAGTTAGCTGGGCATGGTGACGGGCACCTGTAAACCCAGCTACTCGGGAGGCTGAAGCAGGAGAATCACTTGAACCCAGGAGGTGGAGGTTGCAGTGAGCCTAGATCATGCCATTGCACTCCAGTCTAGGCCACAAGAGTGAAACTCCCTCTCAAAAGTAAAACAAAACAAAACAAAACAAAACAAAACAAAATAAAATAAAATAAATAAAGTAAAATAAAATAAAATAGAATAGCCCTCATTCACCAAGCCAACTCACTGTACTTGAAAAATGATGTCACTGAAGTCCAAAAAGATGAATTTCCACAGTGAGAAAGAGCCAGCATTAAAAATCTGACTAGGCTTTTTTTTTCCCCCAAAAGCTTAGAATGAGGTAAACTTTAATATTACGTATATTGAAATTTACACCTCAGAAATGGGTGTAAATGGGTGTATATTGAAATAAATATTTCAATATAAATGTAGCTTTTGCATTCTGTTGGGCACCCAGATCTCTATGGTAAATATTCTTTTCTGTATGTATTTTTTAAATGCACCAAAAATAAGGAGTCTACCTAACTCGTAAATATGTTCATGAAGAATACATAATGGCATCCTATCCTAACATTTTGGTAAGTAGGGTCTCAACTCCAATATTAGGTTGATTTCACTGAAAACGGAAGAATAATCATCAAGGTTAGTAACATCGATTTCACAAGTAAGATGGGATAAAATCCCAACATAATTTGATGAAATTAAAATGAAAATGAGGCATGGAACATGTTATTAACACCATTAATAAATACATGATATAGGGGATATCTAAATACAATTATCTATCAGAAATTTTGTCAACTATAAACTATGAAATAGTTCAGCAAGTTTAAGATGATTACAATCACTTGGATTAAAATGACTATTGAGCAGGGCACGGTGGCTTACACCTGTAATCCCAGCATTTTGGGAGGCCGAGGCGGGCAGATCACCTGAAGTCAGGAGTTTGAGACCAGCCTGACCAACCTAGTGAAACCCCATCTCTACTAAAAATACAAAAATTTGCCAGGCGTGGTGGTACGTATCTGTAATCCCAGTTGCTTGGGAGGCTGAGGCAGGAGAATTGCTTGAACCTGGGAGCTGGAGGTTGCAGTGGGCTGAGATCATGCTACTGCACTCCAGCCTGGGCAACAGAGCGAGACTCTCTCAAAAGACAAAACAAAACAAAACAAAAAACAAACAACAAAAACAAACACACAAAAAAATCCTCAACTATTGAAAAAGAAAGAAAGAAAAAAAAGAACAGTTATAAAGCTGACCTGGAGGGATTTCCTATAGGATGTTTATGCTATAATTTAGGATAAGGTAAAATTTATTTTTTTGAGGTGATCGTTTGTGAAAATAGTAAAGGACCTTTGGGATGAGTGGCTGGCATTACATTAATGAACTTAGAAATAATATAAATTATATAAGGCATATGGAACCATATTTATTCACAAAAACTTTATATTTAGGAATGTGAGAGTAATATAGTCTGCTTTGTGAAAATTCTGCCCAGTGGCCAAGGCCTCTCTCTGAGGTGACACCCCCTTGCCCACAGCGACCATCAATTATTTTATGCATAATTCCAACCATTTGGCCACAGTTTATTGAGCCATTCAGTCTGCCCTGTATGAACTTCAGGAGCATTGACATCCTTTAAATAGAAGAATGAAGCAACTGTCCAATGGGAGCAGAAATGTTAAAGTACACTTTTCAGGCACAATTGCATCCTGGCCCTTGCATATGGCAACTGGATCCTTATAGTAAATCTCTCTTTTCTGTTAAATTTAAGCTGGGTGTGGTGGCTCATGCCTGTAATTCCAGCACTTTAGGAGGCCAAGGTGGGAGGAACACTTGAGGCCAGGAGTTTTGAGACCAGCTTGGGGAGTATAGTGAGACTTCCATCTCTATAAAAAAAATCAAAAATATTAGCCAAAAGTGGTGGAGCAGGCCTGTAGTCCCAGCTATTAAGGAGGCTGAGGTGGGAGGATTGCCTGAATCTAGCAGTGGGAGGTCGCAGTGAGCCGAGATCACACCACTGCACTCCAGCCTGGGGGACAGAGTGAGACCCTGTCTCAAAAAAAAAAAAAAAAAAAAGAATTTAGAAAATACCCCATGCTGACAACAGGTAGTTAGAATATTAAAAAATGTTCATATGTGTATTTTAGTTGCACCACTTCTAGGAGTATGGGAAATTTCTCAGATTCACATACTTGAATGCTCATCTCAGTGTAATTTATAACACTGAAAAATCAGAAAAAAGCTCAATTTTCCAATTTGGTGACTAGTTAACTGTATCAGGGTATGCCCATATTTTGTAGTATTATACAAATATTAAAATGTTTTAGAAAAATATTTAAGTGGGTAAGAAACTACTATGCCATGACATTAAGGGAAAAATCTGTATACAAAGTACTATACACATCACGACTTCAATATCAGGATTGACACATGTATGTGTGTATAATGAATGAAAAAAGTAGAAAAAAAAGTTCCCAAATGTTAAAATAATGATTTTTGACTGGGGAAGCTAAACATGACTTTTATTTTTATGTTATTCTATATCTTCTAAATTTCCTGGAATGACAATGTATACAACTAGAAAAATTCTGTTATTAAATTACTAGTAAAATAATGTATTGTTCTAGCATTATAGCAAGAGTTAATTTTTTTCTTTGTTATGTGAAAAGCTGAAAAATTCAAAACGATGTGTTTATTCCATGTCATGCAGTAGAACAAAATGTTTTTATCTTTTCAATGGCAGGATAAAAAATCTATAACCAATAGTATTAAACTATCAGTTGTATCAAAATTTAAACAAAAATATATTCATATCATTCAAGGTAGTCTTATGTTAAAATAAATTAGTATCTATTTTAAGTAATGAAGATAAATACATTGCAATAAAATTATTTTATTTTAAAGTATATATAACTTTGCCAAATTTTAATCAATTAACAGCAGTTCAGATATAGATATACATATACATATATGTGTAGAATATATACTTTTTTAAAACAAGAAGGCATACTTCATGATATATAATCTTTTTACCACAAACTATATACACTTCTCAGATATTAAATCAAACTAATATACTAGGAAGACACTACTACTTGGGACCCGCGCAGCACCTTTACAAGTAGTTTAACTTTTATATGTGACTTTAGTAACACCATTATACAAATAAGCCATCTTACGGGCATTGTTTTGGCAGTGTAAACCTATGAGACACAGGTTGCATTTCACAAAAAGATCTGAAACTTGACAACTACTGCTTAGCAAATCTTTGTACAAAATGTGCAGTAATAGGTGCAAGTGTGGCACAGTTGCTAATAGCTAAAAACAGGCACAAAAGCTTTACTGCCCTTTGGAAATTGGACAGAACAATCTTGAACTCTCATTTCCTGTTGCTCCTCTAACAATTTAATATGTTCTAAATACCTTTATGTGGAAATAAAAAAATAACAGGACAAAAACAGACTAGGGAGATTGCATTTCTGTCAGTAAAATTTCTCAAATCAACACATTCAATGAGTTTCTGACATTGTTCTTCGAGCAGCCATCATCTGTCTAATGCAAAATGTGGCTTTGCTGTGTCTTGTTGCAAAGGGAAAGAAAAGCTTTTGTTCAGAGCTTTAGAAAAGTCAGTTCAGTCCACATAATCCATTTTCTCCTTCAATTCTGAAAAGCAGCTAATGCTCATTTGGTAGTGAAGTGCTGCCGAGGAATGTTCTCTTGCTCCTTCTTTCACAAAATTACTTTATGGACAGGTTTCGAACATGTCACTCAACCTCAAAACATGGTGCAGGCTTCTTGGTGGATGAGCTTGCATTATCTGAGGGGCGGTAGGAAAGCGTGCTCATTTTTGTTGAAAGGTTTGAGTGGGATTTGGCTTTTGGGGGAATGTATTTTAGAAGCTGGAGAAAATATTTTTTAAATTTTTTCCCCAGAAAGCCATAAAAAAGAGGATTCAGGCAATTGTTAAAATAAGCTATACAAATGGTGATGGGCATGGCTGTGTCCACAATATCTGAAATTCTACAGTCACGTATGATGCCTAGTTGAATCAATACATCCAGAAAAGTGAATATTTGGTGGGGAATCCAGGAAAAGAAAAAGAAAAGCACAATTGCCATAATTATCTTAAAAATATCATCATTTCTTGGTTTGTTCTTCTGAATTTCATAAGCCTTCTTTAGGGCCTTCCAAATAAGAGTATAACTTGTAAGAATGATCAGAAAAGGAAACAGGAAACCCAGTATATTTTTGGTCAGGCCCAGTCCTATCGGAAGGGTTGAATTTTGGGACTCATAATGGAAAGCACAAACTGTAATATTGGTGTTCTCAATGAAAAATACATTTCGATGGATTATAGCTGGCAAACTGGCCAAGCCTGCCAGCAGCCAAATGACGATGCAGGTGACTTTGGCTACAAGCATTGTGCGTCGAAGGCGGGACTTCATTGGGTGAACAATAGCCAGGTATCGATCAATGCTGAGACACGTGAGTAGGAACACACTAGCATACAGGTTGAAACTGACGCTGGCTGAAGCAATCTTACATAGGTAATTGCCAAAGGGCCAGCGGTATTCCATAGCTGTGTAGACAGCCCATAGTGGCAAAGTCAGTAAAAAGCATAAGTCAGCCAGTGCTAAATTCAAAAGAAAAACACTGGCCACAGTCTTCAGCTTCATGTAAAAGTAAATGACTATCACCACCAAGCTGTTTCCAAATATTCCCACCACAAAGATGATACTGTATAAAGTAGGAATCATGACAAATATGTAATTATGCCTTCCAGCTTTGGGACAATCGTCTTGGATTCTTTTAATACCATCTTCGGTAGAAGAGTTGAGAATCATTTTGATCTCCTGGGTCGAATTTGTCACAAACACTATATCAAATGCACCTGGGGAAAATAAAAATAAAATGGTAAAAATAATTCTTGCTGTAAACAAACAAATGAACATTCATGTCTCAGTCATAAACGCAGTAACTCAACTTTTGTCTTAGGAAAAAATACTAGATCATATTTCCTAAGGAAACTCTGTGAACTGATAAAGCTTAAGAATGCACATTTAAATTTTAGAACATAATTGCTTTTGTAGAAAATGGTAAATATCATCCAGAGAAGTGAAATTGGAGTTCTATGTGAATAAACCTATCCTTTTCCTTTTTTCTATAAGTAAATCTTAGTTTCCAAATTGATTAAAAACATAACCTACATCTTAGAAAATACTACTGAATTAAATTAGTTTTTCAGAAAGACTTGAAAGTTTTTCCTGAGGTAAGCAGGACCAATTCTTTTATCATTAACTCAGAAGTGTGACACATTCATATTGTATTCTTTAAATCATTTCTTTCCTCTCACAATCTTTACTTAGGTATAAAGATTATAAGTATTCTCCCTTAAGTGGTCAGAATAGTTGCCTTTAGGTGACTGACAAATTGGTCACTGTGGCGATTAATTTAAGAGGGGTAGGAGGTAGGGCTCAACTTTGAGGAACAGGATTTTTTCCATTGTTTTCCAGGCCTCTGCAGTCAGTAACTACGTATTCTTTAACTTCCAACTCAGTCTAGCAAAAGTGCATGAATCTTCTAACCTTCATATCTGCCAGCCATTTCTGAAGTTAACCCTGTGGTTAACGATTTGTGTAACAAAGATGTCAAATGAATAGGTTTGGCCAGGATTATCAAGAAAGCATGTCTTTACTGAGGGCTTGAGAAAGCAGCAGGTTTTCTGGAATTCTGGGAAGAATCAGATGCTCAGGAATGAACTGCACGAAGCCATGCAAATATTTGCTCTGATTTTCTACATAATCAACAGTCAAGCTATTCATTTATGTGATTTAGAAAATCAACACATTCTGCCCTGGATAAGAGTCCATCAGGAAGTCCCAGGAAGGAGGCTGAAAATTCAGCGAGAGTGACGTCACCAAATGTAGTACGGTCACACTCTGAGGTGAAGGTTAGCATTGGGCACAGGCCAGGACAGCTAGGTGAGCAGTGGTGCTGGGCACACAGATCCTATTGCTCTACCAGGAGCAGGTCCCCAGATGAACATGGCTGAGCATTCTCTTGTAACAGCATGCCCTGGGGAAAAAGAGCAGCAGAAATAGGACACCACTGCCATGCCAAGCATGGTTTGCTTGGCATTCAGGAGAGCTGAACACATGTTCTTAAAGTAGTGTTCACTTTGGTGCAAAGGGATGCTGTGCAAGGGATACAACTCCAGTAGTCAGCTTTTAAGAGAGAACACATGTGAGGGAGTTCTTAAGTGGCCTCTTCGCCTTCGCTGAGTTAGTGAAGTTGTTCTCCCTATGTAAGTTTTTGGTTGCATGTCCTCGTTATTGTTCCTTTTTGGTATCCAGCTTATATAATGTACATCTTTTTCTTCTTTGACTCATGGGGACATTGGTACCCACAAACAGGTGCTATCTACCCTAAATGTCACATCTTTGGTAAAGCCTTCCCAACTTTTCTGAGCCCTTTGACACTTTGGATGTAGGCTTGACACTTTTTTTTTTTTTTGAGACAGAGTCTCACTCTATTGCCCAGGCTGGAGTGCAGAGGTGTGATCCTGGCTCACTGTGACCTCTGCCTCCCAGGTTCAAGTGATTCTTGTGCCTCAGCTTCCCTAGTAGCTGGGACTACCAGTGCATCCCACTATGCCCAGTTAATTTTTGTATTTTTAGTAGAGACGGGGTTTTGCCATGTTGGCCAGACTGCTCTTGAACTCCTGACCTCAGGTGATCCACCCGCCTCGGCCTCCCAAAATGCTAGAATTACAGGCATGATCCACCGCACCCGTCCTTGACACTTTATTGTAATCATCTGTTGACATATCTGTCTTCTCCACTGGTCTGTCAGTTGCTTGTGGGGAGAGCCTGTTTAAAATTTACTAGTGTTTACTTGTTTCCTTGTTTACTGGTGTAGGCCCTTACACATTCCAGGAGGCAGATGATAAATATCTCATGAATGAGTGACTGAATGGACAAATGAATGGGTGAGCAGCATAGAACTTACAGCTAGGAATGCAGCGTATCGAGACTAATTTCTGTGAAATCACGTGTTGCTCCTTGAAGAGTTTCACAGAGAATACTCAGTGTCAACCTGGGCCTCACCTTGGAAAAAAAACAGAAACAAAAACAAAACAAAATAAACAGGTAGAAAATTCCTTGGTGCTTTTAGAAACTTGTGGTTTAGAAAACAGAAGATGAAGGAAGAAATAATGTAACAGAAACTAGGGCTAGGCTTTTAGGGAGGTATGACTAGTTCTTTCTCACCCAGAGGATTTCCCTATAGCTTGTAGATTTTCTAGTTCATCTTATTATTGTTTTGGAACTTATGCCAACTTAGAAGTATACATTCATTTATATAAACACATATTCTTTATTAAAAATTAATTAGTCATTAAAGGGTTATGGCTAGCAGTCATTTGTGCCTTAATGTGGATTAATTTACCTATTTGCTATCCTTTTAACCATCTAGTAGAGATCAGCTGGATTTTGCTTAGAAAAAGAATTAGTAATGTAAAGGTTAAGGAACCTCGAAGGTTGAAAAGGGCCTGGGTGAACTCCATAACTGAAAATGAGGGCAGAGGTAAATATTTGGTTCAGCTTGGGAATAAGGGCAGTAAAAAATAGAAGGGAGTACATTTTATGCTGTAGAAGCCCTTGGGTGCCCTGTGCTGTGAGAACAGGGAGGAAATTTTCTTCTCTTTCTTCTCTCTACTCTTGACTCTACTTTGACAGCACACAACTCATGTGGGTTCCATTAATCCTACGTTTGGAGTGAGTAGAATTTTATTAACTAGTCTCAAACTATAACTAGCATTCATAATACAATTTCTGTGGGAAAAAGTCTGCCTTTGTGACGATCAATTTATAAGCATAGTTCTGTACTCCAACTCCTTCACAAGCTATCAACCTTTTTTTTTCAGTTACCATTGATTCATATTGACTGGTATTTAATATATAAAAGGTTGCTTTGAACAGCTAGGGGATCATCCCTGGAAACTTTGGTGAGTTATTATTACCTCAATGAGAATTCACTTGAAAGAATCTGGACATAGCATGGAATATACCAATTAGAAGAACATTTTACATAAATGTTTGTATAATTACCAGGACTCCCTACCCAATAAGGAAACACATTTTTTTCATACTCGAGGGTAGAGGAAAAAGGGAGAAGAATTTTAGGCGATAGAAACAGTGGAAGGAAGCACAAGGAAGGAGCAAGGCAAACAGCACATTCAGTGGGTATTCATCAACTCATCATATATTCACTGAACACCTACTATGTGTGGGTGTCCAGGATGCAAGGGGAATAAAGTCACAGTTCTCCTCTAGGAGTCTAGCCGGGGGGACAGGAGCCTTAAAGGCAGTATTAGCTTTAGTTTGTTGAATGTTATATCAGAGGCATGTGGAATACTCTGTGTTTATCACTGACCCAGATTGGTGGGGAGAGTGGGGTTTGGGGGAAGGATGGTGAGAGGGCAGTGGGAGTGGGGAGAGGGATCAGGAGATGGCACCCGGAAACCAGCCAAGGTGCAGTAGAGATGGTGTCATTGCTGGAACTTACCCCTCCTTACTAATGCCTGCAGCATCATCTATGGGAAACAGCTCTCATAAATTAATAGATATTGCACAACCCTCTTGGGGGTGTGGGATCTGGATGTGCACTGTGTATTTCTAGATGGGAGGGTGACACAGGTCATTTCCCAGTCTGCACTTCTGCTACTGATAAGCTTCCCTCGAGAAATTTGTTTCTAAGGAAAGAAATAAAGATGGGACTTTTGTGATTGGCAGTTACTTTAGATTGATGATAAATGACTGGGAAACAGTGGGGCTCTTTTTTCTTTGAAGCTGAACAGATGCTGGTTTGGTGGGAAGTCGAAGGAGAGAGAGATGTGATTGACGAGAAAAACCAAATTGGTGAGATCTAGAAAGCAGCTATGTTTCAGTCACATCCTGCTTCTTTTCCCAGAAGAGTTCTAGGCCGGTAGAACACTGATTAAAAACAAAGGAGGATCCACCTCTTCCTATTTTTCCTATGCTTGGTCTTCCTATGCCTTTTATCCAAGCTCTGTGGCTTGCATGAATTCCATAGCACCATTTCCCCTTAGGGAAAGGAAGATGAATTTGGGGTTGGAAGACTTGAAATGGAATCTTCCTTTGCCACGTACACATCTGTGTGGCTCTGGGTAAGTCATCCAATTTCTCTGAAAATGACCCTCAGTTTTTTTTTTTTTTCATCTGTAGGAAACAAGAACAGTGATATTTATTGCACATGATCTTTGTAGGAATAAAGTGAGATAATGTGAAAGCACTTGGTATATCTTTCAAATAGTGCTTAATGAATATGTTTTACTTGAATCTTTACTATTATTTTTTGAATGCAAGGCAAACATTGACTCAGAACAGCCATGGGTTAAGAAAGCATGAGAGTAAAGAAAAATGTTTATCATAGGTAAGTTCCTTCCGTTGCCATTAAAAGTCTAAAAATTCCAGGCTGCTGTTCTTTTGAAGTATGAGTAAATAATAATCTTAAGCAGCTGAATAAATTTGCGGTGAGTCAGGTGGGAACCTAAGTCTGTGGCAAACATAGGTGTTGGCTCATTGTGGCCAAACCACATTTATTTAACAATTGCTTTTGTAAGAGTTACCTTACATCCTTCGACAGCTTTCCTGGTTCTTAAAGCATAAGAACGAAGATTTTCTTTCCTTTTTTTATTGTAAGAATGCTTTCCCAAGACTTTTGATTAGAATATTAATACCTTCTTAAGCTTTTAGGCAAGCCAAAACCAATCTAATTAAATTGTTCATTACAAGCTCTTTTTAAAACTAGTTTGCAATCTAAAGAAAAAAAAATTCCCCATAGTGTCCTATGATAATAAAGAGAGAACTAAAAGACCAAGTAATTATATTTTGGAATAATCTTCTATCAAAGTATCTCTCTCAAGCATCAAAAAGAGTAGGCCAATGTTTGTAAGCCATTTGCTTACAGTGCTGGACCGCTCAGTAAACCATCCTGTTCAATAAACCATTATCTTTATTGTTCCTATTTTGTAATTCAGATGTAGAAAACAACTGTTTCTGCTCTTATATCACTTCCCCTGCCCCCAGCCACCAAGTAAGGCCACAGGAAATAACTGTTAGGTATTCACTTGTGAATTCATTGACTCATAGAAATTGGCACTAATATTTTTAGGGTTTTTACTCGTTTCTTTTTCAGATCTACTTGTTCTTATTTCTTAGCCCTCTGTTCCTATTTTACGAAGTCTACTTCTTCTTTTATTTTCCTTAACATTTTCAATATCTGTCTGTTAAGAGCCCCTACCCAATTGCTTTACTATTTATAGTTCCTCCGGTATAAATTCTATTTATTGCACCTATGGACACTTTTTCTTGATAATGGACTTCCGCTTAGGTTTTGTAATCTTTGACTGTGTTCATTTTTGGTGGGAATTAACTTGCTTGGGAAGACTGAGTGTTGGGATGATGGTGGCCTATGAAACTTCAGCTTGGGGGTACAGCACTCCCTTGATCTGGAAGAGTTTATAATGCTCATTTCTGAGCTTAGTTTTCAACCTTATATATATATATATATATATTTGCAGATACTATACATTTGTAGTATTTAGTAGCTTAGTATCTATACCATTCTCAAATTCTGTCTGGTTTTCAGAAGTTTTCTAGTCTTTCATCATGAATAGGCAGTGATTTTTCAGTTCCTGGCTTTAATTGGGAAACACAGCTTAAATTGCTTTCAGTACATGTGCCTGGTGGTCCTGACTTTCACACTGCCAAAGTCACTGGAACTTTATGTCAGCTGTGTATCTAGTGTTAGTCCTGATCTGGCCCAATGTGGTCTTAACTTTTATTCAGAGCTGTGATCTGGTATTTTGTATTTAAGGCAGGAAGGGCAGTTTCCATGCCTGCTTCATCCATTTCATCTCTACTGAGGTTGCCCTACATGTTATTTGAAGGTGATAATTTCCAAATAAGTTGCTTAAACCTAATAGCTTTGGATTATAGTCATGGCTTTTGAGGAAGTATTTGAGCCTTTACAGGTTATATTTACCTCCATGCGGGAATCCTGGCAGCCACGAAGAGGGAAGCATGGCAGACCACCTGGCACTATGGGGCAAGAGACAAGTATTGCTTTTAAGTCAGATGCATAGGAGAATGCCATGCTCTTGGTTGGTAATCCTAGCCTAACTTCATGTTAAATGATTTATTTGGAGATGATTTTGTCCACCCCTGCAATTTCTGAGTGAATAGTTCTCAATGCAAAATATTTTATTAAAATTACTAATATCATTCTAATTAAGTACTTAAGATCCAATCTCCTCAAACTCAATAAATGACTCTCTGATATGTGTACATGGTAAATAGTGACTTCTGGTCCTCTTCCCAAGTCATTATCATCCACTGTTGTCTGACCTCACAAGAAATAAAAACAAGGCAAGCTGCTTTATTAATTCTGCATGTACCAATTGTGACTAACTGTAGAGACAGTGGTTAAATGTTCCATCATTTCCAACTAGCCCTCCCCTTTGTTTCATCCAAAATAACTAAGAACCCAAAGAACGCAGTTTTATGAAAGGAAATTCAGAAACTTTATAATTTATAATAAAATTTATATTCAGGATATGAATTAAAATGAGAGTAAAATGTTAATCCCACATTTTAGCTTCTTGGAAATTATTCAAGACTACCGTCTGATAATGAAATTCTAAACTACAATTAAAATTCTCTAAACTCTAAAAGTTCCTACTTACTATAAATTAAACAACTCAGTTGTGATGAATGTCCCAATCCCTCCCACCCACATCACTATCCCAAATTCTTAGCTGTTTTTGTTGTTTTTATTTTATTCCAAAAAGTAAAGAGAAACAGGTACCAATGAAAGATACACGATCAAGTCTAATTCACATGCTTTAAACATCTTTCTTTGACATGTTGGTGTTAGTAGAAAATACTCTCATGTTAAATATGAAAGGCCGTGAATGGCTTTCCAGGGTGTCTGGAGAGAGGAGACTCCAGAGACTAGGAGAAAAGGAAAATAAAACCTAACTTGGAAGAAGGCTTGTAAGTAAATGAACCCCTGTCCTCTTACACTTCTAAATTCTTCAAACTTATAGACTCAGAATTTTCTCACAAGAATTATCGCCACATTTCAATGGATTAGTATCTCAGCCATCATGGGGAGGAAACATCATTTTTAATAATATGGCTCTTGGAGACTACTCACAAGCTTTTCAACAGAGAAAAGGGCAGCACTAATGTGGGCTTAGTCAATAACAGTTGCTTCATCCAACTTCTGAACAAAACCACAGATTTTGTATATGAGGCCACCTCACTTTTATTTCTCTGAAACTTCAATTCAGCAGCAGCAACTGTTTATCTCATTTCAAATTCCATTTTAAGGGGCGTGAGGAAAGTTATTGGGCAGGAAAAGAGGTACTAATTAATTTGCACCCTTAAGAAATTATGATAATATTAGAGAATTTATATGTATTATGAGTTTTATGTTAGGGTTATTGGTCACATGACAATTCATTTTAGATTAAAGCTTTTAACATGATACAAGCCACATAACCATAAATTTTAAATGAAGCTAGAATATCGATATACTGTACGTTTCTCCAAATTGCTCAATGTTCTGATTGCAGAAGAAATATTCTTTAATGATAGTCTGCAAATTGGTGGAAAATGTGGGAGCAGACTGAGGTTCTAATTTTAGCTTTCCCACTCACTAGCTGGGTGACCCTGAAGCTGTCATTTAGCTTCCCTAGACCCCTGTATCCTCAGGGAGTTGGTTATACTCTTAAAAAAAATTTCTGAAGCATGAACTTTTATAATCCTTCCTTTGAACAGGTATGCATCTTTTGAAGAGAAGGGCAAAATTGCTTGACAAGTAGAATAACAACAATTTCAAGAATTATAACAAGGCAGTTGATTAATGCTGTCATATATTGTTAAATCAGCTATCTATATAGATATTTTTAATCCCACACTGATTTAATAATATTCTATATTAAACACCAGAACTTTTTGTATTAAAACAACAAGGTGAAAAAAATTTACTGTTTACTCAAGATGAATAAAGAAACTCAACATAAGATGATCATAGTCACAGGTTTTTTTTTCTTTCTTTTAAAAAATTAACTATTACTCAAAGAAATATTTTCCAGGCATATTTGGATAGCTGGTTGTGGTCCTAGACTAATGAGGTCAATGTTAAGAGTTTGGGCCCTATCTGGACTAGTTTGTTTCATTCCATTTATGGCCAAAAGCTGTAAGCCTTTCAGACATCCCTTGTGTTATTTATTGACACTACCAGGTCAAACAATACAGTTTGGAACATGGCTGAAAATCAAAACTAAAAGCCTGCCATGAAGTTAGAGAGTTAAGATTACATGGTCCTGTGAAGAGAGGAGCACAATGTGACACTGTTAAAATACCATAGAAAATCAACCTATTCTGAAATTCTTTGTAAGAAAATACAACTTTTTAAAGTTTAGCAATTAGTTAATGTGGTCTAATTGCCCAGATAAAAACACAGAGGTGAGGGCAGAGTATTATAAGAGAACTTCAAGAGAAGGTTTCAACATTCTGGAGAGTTAAAGGGCCTCTGTTCTAAGAAAACTAAAGCTATAAGGGTCATGTTTATTTGATTTTATCACATAGTTTCCTTCTCTTCAAACACAGTTTTATATGCATTATAGTTCTTTACTTTTTATTTATTTATTTATTTTTTAACATAAAAATGCTGTAAAAATTGAGGAATAGCAGAACTGCCTGGAAGAGAAAGCACTGGACTGCTGTCCTGGCAAAGAGTCTGCTCTGCCATAACCGGCAACACAATCTAATGTTTCACTTTGTTTTCCTTTAAATAGTACAAGATATTTAGAATGGGAATACCAACACCTGTTCTCAGCTCTATTTCATGGACTGCTAAAAATAAAAAGTAAGTTCTTTGGAAGACATAAAAGCATTTTTAAAATGTAATTGTTCTATAATACAAGGGTAAGTAGAACGAATTAAATAAAGCTCAGACTTTCAAAATATTACTAAATATTTTTATTCGGAAGTTCAGCAGAAATATTTTTCATTATTATAATAATGCTTTTATTTGAAGAATTATAACAAGGCACTTGATTAACCCTGAAAGAAAAGTAAAATAGTAGATATTGGATTGCTTCTACATTTAATACTTGTGGCAGCAAATGTTTGGGTACAAACTGACCCCTTAGGGCAAATCTGATCAACGTATATATTTTCTTTAGTCCTCAGAGTATTACAGCTTTTGGGACTTGAATTTTCTGTAGTTCACTAATACCCCTCTATTTTATGGTTCTGTAGTTCAGTGCTGTCCAAAAAAAATAGAAAGTGAGACACATATATAATTGTAATTTTTCTATTAAAAACATTTAAAATGTAAAAAGAAACAGGTAAAATTAATTTTGATAAAATATGTAATCCAATATATCCAAACTATTGTCATTTCAACATGTAATCCATATAAAATTATTAAGATATTTCACAGTTTTTGTACTATGTCTTCAAAGCCCAGGGTATAATGTATGCTTCCAGGACGCCTCAGTTACACTAGCCACGTTTCAAGTGCTCATCACTCTGGGGCTGGCTGCTGTATTGGAAGCACAGTGTAGGTGCTTTTACTCACAGAAGTCCCCTAGTTGGCCCCCTAGCAATGGTTCTGAACGTGTGGTCCCTGAAACAACAACATCAGCATCACCCAGGAATTTGTTAGAGATGCAAATCTCTGGCCCCACCACAGACCTACTGAATCAGAAACTCTGTGGGTGGGGTTCAGCAAGCTGTGTTTAATGAGCCCTCCAGGTAATTCTGATACACACTAATATTTGAAAAGCACTGCCCTGTAGGCAACTTCATTTGCGATGCTGGCTTAAATGCTGATAATCCTGATTAACAGGCAAAACCAAATCCAACAAACAACAAAAGTACTCTCAGCTAAAATGTTTTCATTTAACGTTTATGAAGCATCAAAAACTGAATATGAGAAACTTACTCATTAAACTGCATATTTCTATTACCCATTCAGGACTGGCATAAAGTGTGTCCAGCAGGATGTCATCTAGTAAAATCCCCTTTGCACCTGCTCATAGATATCTAAAATTCCTATAATTCAGGTAGGGTGGAATACCCACCTTCATACCTTCTCAGGCAGAACTAAGATCTACCTGAGATGAAACACAATGGCTCAGGTGAGAACCAGAGTTAAGACAGTGGGAAGAGCATAGTGATGGGAGCCAAAAGTTCTCAATCAAGCACATGATTTACCTCCTATGACCTGTGGAGCCTTTGGCCTGTCACTTGACTTGTGATTCACTTTCTTCATCTGGAAAATGATGATGACAATAATAATGTTCAGGATGAGCATGATGAAGTAGCAAGCATGTGTCCAGTTTGGTGCAAAACGCTGCTGGAAACACCGAATGAGATCATGGGTCTGGAGGTGCTCTGAGACCCTAGAACTTTGGGACTTTCGTTGGTGTTACTAGGTTCACACTGTGGTGTAAATGACTAATTTAATTTTTTTTTCCCTGTGAGTAAA